AGCCATTTTTTTACAGTCGCCTTCAATTTTTATTTTAGTGTTCCATTTCATCTAAAATAACTTACATGTGGACCATATAGTATATTAGGCTACAGTGGTATACACAAATTACAAGATTGTTATGTTAACTGGGAAATTTTCGCCCCTTTAAAATAAATATTTGTATAGTACTAATTTCGCCCAGTCAAATTCAATTACTATTTATAATATTCTTTGCTAATATTCGCTGTAATGATAAATTCGTCCTCATTGCGGAGCGCAAAAGAGGCGAAAACCTAACTGCGGCGACTATACAATATACGGTATACAGTACGTCAAATGTACAGGGGTTCAGCTGAGGATTGAGACACGTTAGGCATGTTGTAAGAACAGATCTAGGTAAGCATACTAAGGAGAGCGCTATAAAAGTTGATATATCCAATGATATCAAAATTACGACCATAAAGCTGCAAAACCTTCATTACTCGGACACCCATGTTGTAAGTTTGTCACTTATCATTTGACATCTAACAAGGAAATGAGCAAGCCCATGAACCGACTCCCCGAGTTGGGGGAAGCAGGGATGATCATGTCAAGGAAAGGAAAGTTCATGAACTGACAATTTAAATTGTCCCGCTCGTCATACAGCTTACTAGATTGTTTAAGTAATTAGCCGTTCCTTTTGATAATAATAATAATTCGAGGTTCTTTTATACCGTTTTTTTCACAACCTAGTTCGTAGGTCGTGTCAAAGCGGTTCACAAATTATTATCCGTGGTTATAAGGCCTTTGCGACCAGTCAATATGTTTCTCAACTCCATGGGGAGCATATAGCCGGTGTTGCCATTTCGGTGCTTACAGCTTCCATTCTACAAGTCAAGCACTGCCCAACCACGCAGTCATTTACAGCTGAGTTGACTGGAACAAGCGGTGTAAAGTATCTTGCTCAAAGATACATCACTGTACATGATAAGTGTGCTAAGAAAACCCATGTTGAAAATGTTAGATGTTTGACTGTAGAGAATAGGGATGACAAGCCCTGGTTTAATGATGAAGTTAAATGTTTACAAAGAAAATATTTATCTGCCTTAAGAGTATTTGATAGTAATGCAAATCCAACAAATCACGCAATGCTCATGACAAAGAAAAATCAATATAAAATTTTGGAATCTAAAATGAAGAAGCAATATTTTAGTGTAGAGGGTGACATGATGGAATATTTGAGGAAATATAATCCTAGTATTTTTATAAAAAGTTTGCAAAGAAAAGATCAAATCCACCTAAAGTTTCAATGGACCAATTATTTGAGCATTTCAAAAATGTAGCAAATTCTGGAGTTGACTTTGGACATAACGAAATTATATATAATGATGATGATGTAATGTTTGATGAGTTAGATACTCCTATTTCGTTTAGAGACATTACAACGGCGATCAATAATCTGAAACGAAATGAATCGCATGGTCCAGATGGTCTGTTAAATGAATGTTTTATTGAATGTAAACAGTTGTTGTTACCTTTTATACATGTATCATTTAACAGTATGTTACAATCTGGATGTTTTCCAGTTGACTGGTCCGAAGCAATCATTGTACCTGTGCATAAAAAGGGCGCTTTAACAGATCCTAATAATTTTCGAGGTATCAGTCTAATTAGTTGTATGTGCAAATTATTTACATCCATACTTAACAAACGTTTGATTGACGTTTGTACTAAATATGATATTTTAACAGACGCACAATTTGGTTTCCGTCCAGGGGTAAGCACTGTGGATGCTATTTTCGCTTTGCAAACTATAATTTCGAAAACGTTATCTGAAAGAAAGAGGCTATATTGTTGTTTCGTAGATTTCCGCAAGGCTTTTGATTTCGTAGATAGAGTAAGCCTGTGGTGCAAGTTAACAAAGCTGGTTGTTCGAGGTAAATANGCAAGGCTTTTGATTTCGTAGATAGAGTAAGCCTGTGGTGCAAGTTAACAAATCTAGTTGTTCGAGGTAAATTTTTGTCTACAATTAAGTCTTTATACTCATTAGTTAAATCTTGGGTTTTAGTTAATGGCAAATGTTCAACTTTTTTTTTTAATAATGTTGGATTGATGCAAGGGGAAATTTTGTCCTCGTTACTTTTTTCTTTGTTTTTAAATGACTTTGAAAATAGTTTTATAGAAAATGGAGCATCCCATTATGATTTTGGGGAATTGAGTTTATTTCTTCTTCTATATGCAGATGATTTAGTTTTATTTTCTGAGTCAATCGAAGGTTTACAAAGCCTCTTGAACAATCTAAGTGAGTATTCGAATAAGTGGAAATTAACAGTTAATACCGATAAAACCAAAATTATGGTTTTCAGAAAAAGTGGAATTATTAGAGAATCAGAGAGCTGGGTGTATAACGGCAACAAAATTTCAATTGTGGATCAATTCTGTTATCTGGGGGTTCTGTTTAGATTTAATAACAAATTCAGTTTTATGGTTAAACATGTAGCAGAGCAAGGTCGTAAAGCGCTTTTTGCCTTACGAACATCAAAACTATGCTATACTTCTTTGACACATATGTGAGTAGTGTATTATATTATGGCTGTGAAATATGGGGTAGATATAAAGGAGTTGAAATAGAAAGGGTTCATATGAAATTTTGTAAAAATATACTGTGTGTTAAAAAATCTACGTGCAATGCTATGGTATATTTTGAGCTTGGACGACTTCCTCTGGCAAACAATCAGATGCTTCGAATGTTTAGATATTGGTTTAAGTTGTTAAAGTGTGCAAATTGTATTCTAAAAGAAGCATATCAGTTTTTATTGAAAGAAAATTGGAGGGAAAACCCGAAACGAAATTGGTTATTATTCATAAAGCATAAATTATTTGAACTAGGGTTTGGATATATATGGATAAGGCTGGCAGCTACCGACATCTGTCTACTACCTATTATTAAACAGCGCATAGATGATCAGGCAGAACAAACTTTATTTAACTCGTTGGCCATCTCAAGTAAATATGATCTCTATAGATACATGGTAGATACCGTGATGATGCAATATTATTTAACAAAGTTTATACCAAAACAACGTCGAATTATGATGACCAAATTACGTATGTCAGCTCAAAATCTTGCAATAGAAACGGGAAGGTACAGGAATGTTGCAAGGAATAATAGATATTGCAGCAACTGTGACCTAAAAGAGATAGAAGATGAATTTCATTTTCTATTTACCTGGCCACGTCATCTAGATCTAAGGAGAAAATATATTGAAAATTATTACTGGCAAATACCATCTGTATTCAAACTTATCGAATTAGTAAATGCACACAATGTAAAAGGGGCATGTAAAAGAACTGAATTTGTTAGGTACATTTATTATTGAAGCTAACAGACGAAGGATTGTTTAACTTATAAGTTTGTTTTACCTAATTTTGTATTACTCAATCGTATCATGTCCATGTTTTGTTCGAACAATCTTTCATGTTTAAGATGGTAAATGCTCAACGTTGTTGTTTTTTGTTGATGATGATGATGATGGTGATGATGATGAAAGTGGTAATGATTTCAATAATATCGTTGATTTGTGAAAAATGTACCAGTTTTATGAAATTCATGATTAAATGGTAATTATTTCATGTTGTTGTACTTTGACGATGATGATGATGATGATGGGGATGGTGAGGATGATGATGTAGTATTTGATGTTGATTTAAAGAGATGATTATTTCATGATGATTAGTTATAAGACGACGACGACGATGATAATGATGATGATGCATACCAATATGTAGCAATACATTGTAGTTACACAAATGTATGATAACTCGATCAATAAAATACACGGGTCGTAGGGTAAATATCTCTATGAGACCGTTTGTGAATTAAATCGCTAGTGTTGGCTGTACTTTACGGAAAAATTATCTATAATGTAGATTATTATTGCGGAAGATCATAACGATTCTGATTAAAATAAAATAGAAAATAGAACAACTCGCATTCAAATACCATGGTTATATTTAAAAAAAATCAAAAATAAAATTTAATCAATATATTTGTATTCGATATTTTGAAAAAAAGGCCTCTACAGATGCCTAAAAACTCCCAACTTTAATGAGAACTTTAATGAGACTCCAAAGCCATTATTTCAAAAAAACGAGACAATAATTGCGAAAAAAATAAATGATAAAAATTATAGAAAATATAACAATTAATTACAGCTAATAACATGCAAAATTTCTTCTGTAAACGAATCTAGTGTCTGAAACTTCAAAGACAAATATTTCATTCATCTTTGAGTTATTTAATGAAATGCCACAAAATTGCATCGTGAAGTGCTTTAAAATTGCATCGACTATGCTATGTTGAATGTTGTCGTAATGAGAAATCCCGGGGACTTGTTTGTTTGTTTGTTTGAGTGGTTTTACGTCTGTTTCACATCCGGAGAGTTCAGTTTCCCAGCAGTTAAAATCCCGACGATGTTAAATGTGCTTTAGAGTAGCATCGATGAGCTGTAGAGTAGCTTCAAGGAATCAAAACAAAACAGCAGACGTCAACTCAACATCGTGTATTCAGCTAGGCGGAAGACAGCTTCACAGGCTGCGCGCAGACGCAGGACAGATATACAGAGTTGTTACATATTACAGATTGAGTAAACAGATAATAGCGGAACGCAATAATAACTACATATTGTTACATCCTTTCTCCTATAAAGAAACTACAATCTAAATTTTCTGACTAGAATACATTCACAATAATAAAATTATTCTCATGCATTTAAACTGTTAATATCTGACTAGTTGTATATAGTTCAAGACTTATAAAAACTGAAATAACTTCAATTATATAAGTTTCATTCACTGTTTGAGAAAATATTGATTTTTTTTTTATAGAGTCATTGTTCATCCATAATTGTCCATAACAAATTGAACACTTTGGTAGTCAATAATTAACTAACACTTTGACAGTCAATAATAAAGTTAATCAACAAAACACTTTTACATGAAACTACTTTGGATCATGTTTCACAAATAAGTCAAGTCAGTCACAAATCGAGTTTGACAGGTTCAAACACTTTTCTGCCAAATCTCGACACGGTCACTGGAGCACGCGGAGACGGGTTCCTTTGAGGACTGCGGCTTATCGGAGCAGCGATAACATTATGTTTGGTAATGTCAATGTTCGGTGTCGGTGGATAACCCTGAGGTACTTCGTTACAAGCTACCTCGTCCTGGGGCATTTCCGGTTCCTGTTTGACCTCAGCCGACTTCCGGAGATGGCGACGGTTACGACGCAAAACACTACCAGAGCTGGTTTCGACAGTGTATGATCTTTTTGACACTTCTTTCTGAACAGTCCCTTGTTTCCACTCTTTCAGACCTTGTGTAGGTGCGATACGAACAATGTCACCTGATCTAAGTGGTTTTAGATCTTTTGCGTTGCGATTATAATAAAACGCCTGTTTCTCCTTCATCGCTTCCAGTTTTCGCGGTACAGATTTGGGAATCTGCGGTTTGAGTAGGGTTGCCTTCGTTGGCAGTTGAGTTTGTGTACGTCGACCCATTAAACGCTGAGCTGGACTACTCTCCATCAATTGAGTAGGGGTGTTACGGAAGTCCAATACAGCCAGATACGGATCTGTCTCTGACAGTTTTGCCAGACGCATTAGTCGCTTTGCTGTTTTGACAGCTTGTTCTGCTTTCCCGTTACTTTGCTGGTACGCCGGCGAAGAGGTTAGATGTTCGAATTCCCACTCACTCGCGAATCTGTCGAATTCAGACGAGCTGAATTGTGGCCCATTGTCACTTACAACGGTAGTGGGAATGCCATAACGAGCAAACTGAGCACGCAGCATTCTGATAACAGTTGATGACTTCGTGTCGGTAAGATGATCGACTTCCCAGAAGTTCGAGTAGTAGTCAACAGTTATTAGGTAATCTTTGTCGTGAATCGTAAAGAGATCACATCCAACCTTGGACCAAGGTCGTTCTGGTACATCATGAGATATGAGCGTCTCTTTCTGTTGTCGGTTCTCGTAGGTACGACATGTCTCGCACCTACTGATATGATCACCGATCTCGGCATTCATATTCGGCCAGTATACAGTCTCTCTAGCTCTCCTGAGACATCCTTCTGTCTCAGGAGACATATGGGACGAATGTCAATTCGTCCCATATGAAGACATATGTCTTCATATGGGACGAATGAATTCTGGACTTGATGTCTGAACGCAACGAAAGTGGTATGACGGCCCGTTCACCTTTAAATATTATTCCATTCTGTATGACGAGTTCGTCTCGTACATGGAAATACGGCCTTACCTCTCGCGTAGTCATAGAGTATTTAACAGGCCATCCCTCAAGAATCACTTCCTGGAGCGCCTGTAGAGTGTCGTCCCTCGCGGTCTCGCGCTGTATGTCACGTAAACGCGTATCTTCGATCGGAATGTCACGCGCCATATTGATTGTCTCCTGGTTAGTGAGCCCATCAGAGTCAAACGTTCCGGTATTGTCACCATCAGTAAGATAAGCACGACTGAGAGTGTCGGCAAGATACATGAGTTTTCCGGCATGGTACGTGATCGAGAATGTGTAAGTCTGTAGACGAAGTAACATCCTCTGCAGCCTCCTAGGAGCAGAAAGTAGCGGTTTCCGAATGATCATTTCAAGCGGTTTGTGGTCAATTTGGACAGTGACGTGTCGACCATAGACATAATGGTGGAACTTTTCAAGTCCAAAAACCACGGCTAAAAGTTCTTTTTCTATTTGTGCGTACCGAGTTTCGACGTCAGTTAAAGCGCGACTCGCGAACGCGACGGGTTGACCCTTTTGGAGCAGAGCAGCTCCAAGTCCTTTCTCAGAGGCATCACACTGGAGGGTCACTTCCTCCTCTGGGTCAAAGTAACGCAGTACGGGTTGTGAAGTAACAAGTCTTTTGATTTCACTAACAGCATCAGAGTGGGTCTTGAGCCAACACCACTCCATATCCTTCTGAGTCAGTTTCCTGAGAGGCTCACAAACGTCGCTCAGGCCGGTCAGAAACTTACTCAGATATGTCACAAAACCAATGAAACGACGCACGCCAGCTACATCCGTCGGATCCGGCATTTCCGCGACTGCTTTCACCTTATCAGGATCGGGTTTGAGACCCTACGCAGTGACAAGGTGCCCAACAAATCGGACCTCCTTTTGCCTCAACCTGAGTTTTTCCTTGTTTAGTTTTAGTCCTTTCTCACGACATCTTTTTAGTAGATCTAGGAGTTTCCTATCATGATCCCTGACAGCCTCCTCATCAGTATCTCCTTCCCCATAGACCAGAGTATCATCTACGACACTGTGAACACCGGGCAGTCCTTCTACAGTTTGGTCCTGCCTCCTCTGGTATTCTTCGGGAGCGGAAGATATGCCAAATGGCATCCTCAGCCATCGGTACCTACCGAATGGAGTATTGAAGGTCGTCAGTAGTGAGCTTTCGTAGTCCAGTTCGACGTGCCAGAAACCATTCTTGGCATCGAGAACACTAAAGCATTTAGCTTTGCTGAGATTAGGGAGAATGTCCTCAATCGTTGGAAGCGGGTAGTGGCTCCTCTTGATTGCCCTGTTTAGATCTGAGGGGTCTAAACATATCCGGAGTTTTTCCGGTTTTACTACCATAACCATACTTGACACCCATGAAGTAGGTTCTGTAACGGGAGTGATGCTATTCATATCATGAAGCTTGTCCAGTTCCGACTTCAGGCGATCCTTCAGAGCGATGGGGACCTTACGTGGTGGGTGTACAACAGGGATGACATCGGGATCCACTGTCAAGTGATACTTTCCTTCAAGTTTTCCAGTTCCCTCAAAAAACATCAGAATATTCAGTTACAATGTCGGACATTGTGAGAGGTTTTGTATCGGTTTTGACAGCGTGTTTCACACTCAGAATGTTCTGATGTTGGATAGTTACTAGTTTCATGTCCTGCATCAAAGCATTACCGATCAGCGGTACACAGGTCTGATTTAACACTATAAAGTCTGCCGAGTATGTAGTATTAGTCTTAGGGTTCTGTACTTCTAACTGGCACTTTCCCATAGGAGTGAGTATTGTTTTGTTGAACATCTTGAGTATGCTCTTTGTGGGTTTCACATTCACGTGTGGCGGAACTAGTTCTTTCGAGATAATGTTACATGTCGCGCCACTATCCACCTGGAAGTTAACACGTTTCCCACCAATGTCCAGAGCTGCGAAGATCTCACCTGATGTTTTAACAGAGTTACAGGTTTCCTCATTAACAACACTGAGCAGTTCATAGTAATAGTCTCCTTCTTCGCATTCATCCTCGACTAAGTGGACACGTTTTTGTACGCGGTGATCAGCCCGACCCCGATGTGGTGTATGCTGTGGTGTAGGTTTAGACACTTTCTTAAGACTGTCACACTTAAAATGGAAATGATTGAGACCCTTACACTTTTTACATGTTTGCCCATAGGCTGGACACTGTTCTTTCCTCATTTCGTGTGTTTGTCCACAGTAGTAACACTCCTTTGGCGGAAACTCATACGCATGTTTTTTTTTCTTTTCCCCTAGATACAGGTACCTGGGGCCTTTTCTTATGAGTTTTCTGAGCCTTGTGGACGGTGTGATCCACTCCTCCTGCCTTGTCGAGTGTACTTACACTTAGTTTTGTCACTTCGACAGCTCTCGCGATTTCAATTGTTTTGTCAAGAGACAAGTCAGTAGTTCTCAACAGTCTTTCACGTAAATGACTGTCTTTAACCCCACATACAATTTTGTCGCGCACAAGAGAGTTTTGTAAATCATCGAAGTTGCACGTGAGAGCAAGTGTTTTGACATCAGTGATAAACTTTTCCAGAGTTTCATCTCCTTGGACCCTTATGTTAAACTTGAATCGTTCGACAGTTTCATTCTTTTTAGGTTGGCAGTATTTATCAAATGCCTCTACAACCATTATTAGAGTTCTGTCCTTCTCTTCTCTATCGAAGTTGAAAGTTTTGTAGACCTCGCGACCCTCTGATCCTATCAGATACTTGAACATTTTGAGTTGTTCGAGCTGTTGCTGATCTTTAAGTGCAAGATCTGCAAACAATTGGAATTCTTCTTTCCACTTTTTCCAGTCATCGGCTAAGTTAGTGCCGTTTTTCGAGTCGAAATTTAATTTCCCTGGCGGGGGAAGCCTTTCAAGTGTGGCCATTTTTAGAAAAAACGCGCCAAACAGATATTGAGATAACTGATCGAGCAGCGATCAGACTCAAATAGAGTTATTTTGTGGTAGTTTTGAGAGCATACCTCGTTACTTACAGCTCGTTTACTTCTGACACCATGTTAAATGTGCTTTAGAGTAGCATCGATGAGCTGTAGAGTAGCTTCAAGGAATCAAAACAAAACAGCAGACGTCAACTCAACATCGTGTATTTAGCTAGGCGGAAGACAGCTTCACAGGCTGCGCGCAGACGCAGTACAGATATACAGAGTTGTTACATATTTCAGATTGAGTAAACAGATAATAGCGGAACGCAATAATAACTACATATTGTTACAGACGATAGATTGCGAAACGATTTCACTGTCAAGTAGTGCAATACTTTTTCGTGTAGTTTGAAAATATTGCAACAGTTTACTCCCAATTTCATTGAGTTCAAATTAATTTTCATTCCGACTCGAACTGACAATAAATGTAAGCTAAAAATAAACGTATAAAAAATATTTTACAGCTATTATGAAACAAATTTTCCAACTAATATCAGTCTTTCTTGTTATATCAAGATGGACGTACGCAGAAGATAATGGGAGGGAACCGAGTTATCGGGAGAAAACCCACGTGGTCCAGCAGGTGGACCATATACTCTCAGAATCGAACCCCGACATACAGTATAAAACAACCACAGACTTGAGTCATGCAACAGAGCAGAGAAAACGACAGAAGACCGTGAGTCAAAAGACCCAGGTTAAAGCTCAGAAACGATACCAATCCAAGACCATGGCAAGAGGAAGAAGACCATGGCAAGAAGAAGAAGACTACGACAAGAAGAAGAAGACAATGACAAGAAGAAGAAGACTACGACAAGAAGAAGAAGACTATGACAAGAAGAAGAAGACTACGACAAGAAGAAGAAGA